CTTAACCAACACTTAGTGCTAAAGCAGCCGCTAAACCTTGCTTTTTTCCGCTCAATGCTAAAAGTTGCGCCTAGGGCAGAAGCGAACCGTTTCACTTAAGCGCTGCCTAATAACGCTTTCGTGAACAGATTCACTGTATTAACTATTAAGGTGGGCCTATTACTATGCATGTTTGCATGTTGAGGTGGCTCTTTTCCCATGCATGCTTGCGTGTTGAGATAAATAGGTTACCACGGCTCAACTATTTAGTTATATAGGATATCAGGCATTACAAAAGATTGAACAGATTAAACAATAAGTATCATATCACATCACAAAATTAGAAAGAGAAGCATGATGATATGACCATCAAACCAAGTCCGTAGGGTGTCAGTACTGTCCAACACATCCCACGTTGTCTGCTCCAAATCCCCCAGACCGAAGCACCACACTTGCCCACCCACAAAGTCGTGTCCATCCAACCATAAAACAAATAGGAGGCGGAGAAGGAGGAAAAAAAACCGTACGCCACATTGCCCACCGCTGCCTCCTGTGCCGCCGCCAGTACGGTTTGGGTCTGCAGCAGCTGGATGCTGGCCACAGGTGAAGTACCCGTGCAGGCTGCCAAGGATTCTGCATTTCTGGAGATCGCCACCAAGGGGGTAGACAACCCTGAGCGCCTCTTTCCCCATTCCAACTCCAGATATGTATGTGTGTCTGGGATTTGGGTGTTTCCTTGATCTGGGGTTGGGTTTGGGTGGTGGGAGTTATGGAGAGCTGCTGTCATGACCTTGTTCATTGCAAGTCTGGGGTGATGGGAAACTTAGGCTACTGCTTGGTTAGTGGTTGTGGGTTCGTCCTGGTAACATGTTGTGATTGTTGAGCTGATTTGTTTGAATAGGACAAAGTGGAATAATGCTGGTCAGGAATTTAGTTTTTCTATTGGATTTTAGGGTATTTATTGGCCATTTGGATTTGTTGTAATTTTCGGCACACAATTCCCATTTTTAGGCGTAATTATGTGTCCAGATAATTGGTAAGACAATTGCGATTTATATGAGTTAGATCACATCATATATAGTGCTTCTGTTATACTCCCTCCGTCCGGGTTTATTAGGCCAGTGAGCAGCATAGGCATGTCCATATTTGAAAGGCCATTGCCTCAATCAAGGTGTGGAAACGCTTCACTTTTTCCTGGACCTTCCACATTCGGTTCATTTCCCGCCGCAATTAACTCCCACCCGTTAGCAAAATAGATGGGATGGTGGGCTCAGTTCTCAATTAAAACGGACACACGATCAGCTGGTGCGTGCGCTGCTTATTCGGTTCGGATTGGCCATGAATTGGCCAAGATGGGGGTGCACGCGAGGAATAAGCGTGAGAAGGGTGCGGTAGCTACTAATGCGGATCAGTTAAGGCATTAGATTATATGGTTTCTGGAGCGTCCGCTAATAACCAGTGGTAAACCCGGGGTTCCTTGGTCCTGCTGATTTGGCTTGCTGGCCCACTAAACCCTGACAGAGGGAGTACAATCACACTGCGCTGTGCTGTTGCTTCTGTACTTTGTCCAAGGCTAGTGTGCAACTTCGTCCACATCGAGTTAGCTTGCTTGCTGGCATCATTGCGTTACTAATCCTTCTTTCCTTTTAAATTACCATTGCCTTATTGGTCTTCCTTTACTCTAAAATTGGCTCATATAGTTCTAGTCAAATTAAGAATATTGGCATATCCCTCATTTTATTTTGTTTTGTTTTTCCTTCGTTCCAGGCTGCACTTGAGTACTTGCATTCTCTATCAAAGGCACAGCCTACTAGTTCTATCTCATGTGCCGGCCTGCATCCTGCTGGCAGATCATTCAGCACCCAGGCTGCTACTACATCAAGCACACCACAGCCTCCACCACCACCCCCACCTCCAGAGAAGACTCACTTTGGTGATCTTAAAGATGAAGATCGTATTTTCACCAACCTCTATGGTCTTCATGACCCTTTTCTGAAAGGTGCAATGAAGAGAGGTGATTGGTATAGAACCAAGGATTTAGTGATTAAAGGGGCAGATTGGATAGTGAATGAAATGAAGAAATCAGGTCTACGAGGGCGTGGAGGTGCAGGTTTTCCGTCTGGCCTCAAATGGTCTTTCATGCCCAAAGTGTCTGATGGACGTCCTTCTTATCTTGTTGTTAATGCTGATGAGAGTGAACCAGGAACTTGTAAAGACAGGGAAATCATGCGCCGTGACCCCCACAAGCTTCTGGAAGGTTGCCTGATTGCTGGAGTTGGAATGAGGGCATCAGCTGCTTACATCTACATTCGAGGTGAATATGTGAATGAGCGTCTGAACCTTGAGAAAGCTCGGCAGGAAGCATATGCATCAGGACTTCTTGGTAAGAACGCTTGCGGGTCAGGCTATGATTTTGATGTACATATACATTTTGGTGCTGGTGCCTACATTTGTGGTGAAGAGACTGCCCTACTGGAGAGCCTTGAAGGCAAGCAGGGTAAACCAAGGCTGAAACCACCTTTCCCTGCCAATGCTGGGCTGTATGGCTGCCCCACAACTGTCACAAATGTTGAAACTGTTGCTGTGTCTCCAACAATTCTTAGGCGTGGCCCAGAATGGTTTGCGAGTTTTGGACGCAAGAATAACTCGGGAACAAAACTTTACTGCATCTCAGGTCATGTGAACAAACCTTGTACCGTTGAGGAGGAAATGAGTATACCTCTGAAGGAATTGATCGAGAAGCACTGCGGAGGTGTGAGAGGAGGATGGGACAACCTGCTTGCAGTTATCCCTGGCGGTTCATCTGTTCCTTTGTTGCCAAAGCACATATGTGATGACGTGTTGATGGACTATGATGCACTAAAGGCTGTACAGTCCGGATTAGGCACTGCAGCAGTTATGGTGATGGACAAATCCACAGATGTAGTTGATGCGATTGCTAGACTGTCATACTTCTATAAGCATGAGAGCTGTGGGCAGTGCACGCCTTGCCGTGAGGGTACAGGATGGCTCTGGATGATCATGGAGAGGCTCAAAGTGGGCAATGCAAAGCTAGAAGAGATCGATATGCTTCAGGAGGTGACGAAGCAGATTGAAGGCCACACAATCTGCGCCCTCGGGGATGCTGCAGCATGGCCTGTGCAGGGTCTTATCAGGCACTTCAGGCCTGAGCTGGAAAGGAGGATCCGCGATCGAGCTGATAGCGAGCTGCTGATGGCAGCTTCTGCATGAGCACCACTTCTGTTTTCCTGATTTTATTCACAGAAATAATGCAAACCGGTGAAGCTCTTCTGTACAAGCAGATGTAGCTTACCTTATTGGTTCGAACCTTTTATGTCCATGTTTATTTGATGCGCTGGTGAAGCCTTGTGTGCTTTGATGGAGAAGTAGAAACGAATTTGAAGGATTGTACCTTGTATGTTACATGAGCCTGTTTTTCTTCTTTAATAATGTTATAAAGAATGACTATCCTCATAATCTGAGTGAACTCTAAAATTATGTCGGCATCTGATGGCTAATGTTTGCTCTAGTTGATATTAATAATGGATTTGTGTTCCACTTCTATTCGGCTTCCTGAGCAGCAGCCAGACGAAGCTAAAATGAAGGCAAAACCTTAGTCTAGCCCCCATCTCCTTCAAAAGATATATTTTCTTTCTGAACCTTGTTGGCGATGAAGCACCCTGTACAACACGTGGACTCTGAGAAGTGGGTTTGGGCCACCACATTGTTATCAAGCCTCCTTTGTCCTTCGTGGCACGTAATTCCTTCATGATTTGGCTGTTGGCTTGATTCTCTTCCTGTTGAACACAGAGTGTTTTAACCGGACTAAGCACGCCGTCTTATAATCCTGCAGACTAATCTTGATCGACTTATGAAGTTGCTGCAATAAATAGTGAGAAAACTACAAGCCACGGTGGCTCCTATCCTCATGGACAGGGGATGATGAATGATGAGTAACATGTAAGTTGCGTTTTTTCCCCCATATCTAAAGATAAAAAACAAGAACAGAAAATAAGATTCACTTAGTGATAAAGTCAACAAGCGCACATGTCAGGCTGGGAATAGTTTGGATCAAAACTTAGTTTTTGGTTTGGTTTTTGATTTGGTCTCACTAGTTTGGTCTCTACTGGATTTAGATAGACAAACAATTTGGTTCGGTTTGAGTTGTGGCTAATAACGGATTGGATAGGTTTAGGTTGGGTGCAGACTTATGGGTTGAAAACTGTTGCAAACTATGGTTTGAGACCGGATTGATGGGTTAGTCTCAAGCGAAGGTCCAAATGCCACCACCTTCCCAGCACACTCAGTCGCTTCTTGTCAATCTATCCATCGTCCAACCCAAGCTTCGTCCACGTGCGTACTCGTGCCATGGACGCCTCTGACTTGGGAGAAGATGATCTTGACTTGGACCTGCTGCACCTCCATGACCACGCCGACGACAAGGGTGACATCCATGACCACGTCGACGCCGGCGTAGAACCTAGGATGTTGGGAATAAGCCGTGACCGGCACGGTGGTGACCGGCGTGCGTGTGCGCCAGGAACGGTCCGTGCAGGCCATAGGAGCGTATGTGTGTTTGTCCGTGCGTGTGTGCGCCAGGAGCGATCCGTGCAGGGCATGGGCGTGTGTGTGTGCGTGCGTCGGGAGCGTGGCATGGGCGTCGGGCGCGCGAGCCGGCCACGTCGAGTGGATGCATGCGCGTCGGGCGGGCGAGCCGTGGAGCGCGAGACGTGCCGAGTGCGCGAGTGGGGTGCGTCGAGAGCGCGGCGTGGCGCATTAGTGCTATAAGTCCCCCTCCCTCGCGTGTATTGTACCAAGCGGACCGAGTTCGTGCTCGAGGAGAAAAACAAAAAAACTGTCGGTGCGACAAGGTGTTTGTCTGTGACCAAATTCTCGGTGTCCATTCTCCCACTGTATCTTGTTGTCTTCGGTGATCACCGGTGCGCCGGGAGTCCGTTTTAGCTAACATAGGAGACGATGGCGACCAACACACCCTGAGCAAACGATCATGACCTGAACGGCAACTGCCTTCTTCAAGTTTGTTTGTATCCAAGTTCCAACACCCGAGCAGCAAATACTCACTAGTCAGTTACACGGCTGTTGTGCTTTGTCCATGGTTTGAGGTTTAATCCAAAACTTGGAAACAGTTTGAGCTGGATTGGGTGGGAAATACGTATAGTTTGGTTTGGTTTGGATTCTAGCTACAAGTTTTTGGTTTGGACGCTGGAGCTATACTCGTACAGTCTGGACTGGTTTTAGCCTGGATGTCAAACTACAAGCTATACTCGTACATAAAAGAGCTTGATAATTTCCAAGTGCAATTGTCGTAGCACTTTTCAATGATGGAGAGGGTAAGTATGGATTGTCGAACCAACATGGAGCTAAAGGTAATATCAATATGCCATTTATACAACTCTTCGTACACCAAGCGTTTGCTTTATCTAGCAAATAAAACTAGAACTACTTTACAGGTATGAAAGGATAGCTTTGCAAGATCACAACAATTGTGAACATAAAAGTTAAGTGTTGCCTAAGTAATAGTACAATATTATACAATATAATACAAATAGGGAGTGAGAAATAGTGGTGGTATGGTGTGTGGAATTGTCCCTGGGTAATTAGCTAAGTTACTAAACCGATCATCATTGCAAGTTTATATGTGGGAGAAGTCTCTGCTAACGTACAATCCATAATTTGAGTCGCACGTTCTATTATTGAAGCTATTAGAAAACATCCACAATTACTAACAAGTTCATTAAGGTAAATACAACCATAATATTAAGATATATTGCCCCCCCCCCTTCAATCTCATATGTACCAATTTCCATGGTGAGGCGAGGTTTCGGTCACTCCTGCCGCCATATGCATAGTCCTATAAACATACTAATAACCCTAATGTGTGGTCCATGCGCCCTCTCCTATTATGGACACCAAAGGATAGTAGCATAACCGCATGCAACTTAAACCGATCACAACAATTCAACAATTAACCCATAGGACAACAATACTCTACTCGGACATAAAGAAGATGCAATAAATCATCATAATAATAATCGATAGCATCCATGTTCAAGTAGGGGATTACAGCGGGTTGTGGGAAAGTGGATCGCTGGATAGAAGTGAGGAAGGTGATGGAGATGCCGGTGATGATAGTTCCCCCGGCGACACTCCGGCACCATTGGGAGAGATGGGGAGAGAGCCCCCTCCTTCCTCCATGGCCTCCGTCCTAGATGGAGAGAGGTTCTTCCCTCTTGTTCATGGCCACCATGGTTCCCGGAGGGGCGAGAGCCTCTCTAACATTGTATCTCTCCTCCTCTTTTTCCCTCTGTTTTCTTCTCTGTTTCAGATTTGTTTCTATGGCTGAGCACGTTTCCTAAATATCCAGAGATTCGTAACTCCGGCCGGGATGATTTTTTGACCCTATCCCCCTACCAAAAATTAGCTTTCATGCGGCGAAAGAAGGTTCCCTCGCGCACCACCTTATGCTAATTCCTTCGCCCAAAAATCCGATATTTTCTATAAACAATTCACATTTTTTAGCTTCAGGGCTTCGTGAATTTTTGACCTATATTTCAAAAAACAATAGAAAACAAGACCTGGCTTTTGGCACTGGATTAATAGGTTAGTACAAATAAATGTTGTTCCAAAAACATAAATAAATGATGCAAATAAAGCATGAATACTTAAAAATTATTGATACGTGGGAGACGTATGAGTGCTACATGGATCAAGTTAATTGGATTAACATGCAATAGATATGGTATGTTCATTGGATGCCACAATTATAGATGGAGGTTAATCATGGATGAACATGGCATAGGATGGTGATGGATATAAACTAAGACTATCTACTTATTTTAAATGAAGTAGGAAATCATATATAAAGAATTTCCCAAATAATACATAACAAGAGAAAGGTTAATTATGGATTAAGCCTTAACTGCAATTTTAGTTGATGCACACATGCATGAGGATGACATATTAATGATCTATGAATTATGCTAATCAACATGGCTTATTAAACCAAGCTTGGATAAATTAGTTATTAATTAGGCTTTTTAATAATGTATTAATGTAGTTTAGTTAAATACAACATTTTAAATAGTGCAAACATGTATGCAAAAGACATATTCATGATCTACACATTCTTTTAATCAATCTTTGTACATAACTTGTCAAATTTGGAGTTCTTACTCCTATAAAGATTGTTGGAGTACGAGCCTACTAGGAACCTGATAGGTCTCCAACGTATCTATAATTTTTGATTGTTCTATGCTATTATATTATCTATCTTGGATGTTTTATTTGCATTAATATACTATTTATATCATTTTTTGGGACTAACCTATTAACCTAGTGCCCAGTGATAGTTGCTATTTTTTTTCCTTATTTTTGTCTTCTACAGAAAATCAATACCAAACGGACCGAAACTTTTTGAGAATTCTTCTTCGACCAGAAGACAACCACGAAGCTTCGGTAGGAGGCCAGAGGGGCCACGAGAGAGCCACAAGCTCGTAGGGCGCGCCCTAGGGGGGGGGTGCCCCGGGCTTGTGGGCCCCTCGGGACTCCCCTAACCCTAATTCTAGCTCCATTAATATATACCCAAATATTCCTCGTATACCAGAGGGCGCACCAAAAATACTTTTTCGCCACCGCAAGCTTCTGTTCTCATGAGATCCCATCTAGGGGCCTTTTCTTCCACTCTATCAGAGGGGGATTCAATCGGAGGGCCTCTACACCAACCTTGCTGCCCTACGGATGATGTGTGAGTAGTTTACCACAGACCTACGGGTCCATGACGAGTAGCTAGATGGCTTCTTCTCTCTCTTTGATCTTCAATACTATGTTCTCCTCGATGTTCTTGTAGTTCTATTTGATGTAATGTTCTTTTGCAGTGTGTTTGTTGAGATCCGATGAATTGTGGATTTATGATCAGATTATCTATGAATACTATTTGAGTCTTCTCTAAACTCTTTTATGCATGATTAATATATGTAACACCCCGGATGTAACTTTCCCAATTTGTACTCCAACTCTTGTCGTTTCCGGCGTTAAGTTATTTTATTTTCTCGGGTTCGGGTTTTTGTCTCCGTGTGTTGTATCGTTGTCATGCATCTCATATCATGTCATCATGTGCATTGCATTTGCATACGTGTTCATCTCATGCATTCGAACATTTTCCCCGTTGTCCGTTTTGCATTCCGGCGCTTCGTTGTCCTCCGGTGGTCATT